ATGGGGTGGACTCGGGATAGACCATTCTCTGAGGACATGGGGTGGACTCGGGATAGACCATTCTCTGAGGACATGGGGTGGACTCGGGATAGACCATTCTCTGAGGACATGAACCGAGAGAGGTGCATGAGGTCCACACTGCTGGAAGCCGTGGCAGGACGCGGATGGAAACGCAGCCCGTGGGGCACCTGGCTTTCTGCAGTGCCAGCCTGAGAGATCTCATATAGCGTGTGACACTCATCCCCTCAGAAGTGGATCAGTGGATTACTGCTGCTGTCTTTCATCTCCTCGCTTTCGCCCGAAGCGACCCTCCGCTCATCCCATCTCCCACGGCCAGGTCTTTATTAAACTGAGCCTCAGGATGCCGAAACGCGACGCAGCAAAGCACGGTATCAACTATTCACACTGGAGATGAATGTAACAGTGATACGTGGGAAAACCGCGGTAACGTGCAGCACGGCAGGCAAACTCACGGCGGATTGGTGGCTTGGGCATCATGGTGGAGATGTCCTGGGACCAGTAGAGGGGGACGGAACCTCGCACCTGCACATACGAGGAGTAGCTCCCTGCCGTAAAAGACATCACCGAGGCATCGTGGACGATCTGCTCCGTCTCGACCTCGTTGGCCACGTCGCCCTTGGAGGGTGAGGACAACAGCATGATCTGTAAGCTGAGACTATGACTGATATGTAGGGGGCCAGATCAAGCAGAAATGGGACAAACCAAAACAAGGGTGAGAGATGTACACTATAGTCCTCAATTGATGCTAGCTCAGAACTTAAAGACCCTAAACAGCACAATAGGCCATCTCCAGAGCAATAGAAAAAGGGAAATGATGTAGACGAGACCTCGCAGTTGGCTCCTCTCTTGAGGAAGCGGGTTCCGGCAAATCGGCTGGACCTCCGGGCGATGAGGGTGACATAAACCGGCCGGCCGTAGATCAACAGCTCTTAGAGGAACCGGGGTTAAGGTAGGAACGTCCAGGCTTGGTAATCCACTAAACCTCTTCCCCAGAAGCCATTCTCCACCACCCACCTACACCCCCACACATACGGGCAAACCAGGATGGCGACTCTATTGATCGACTTGCTTTTTAATCTCATAAATGTCCACAAAAATGCTCCGGTCCCGCTAATTAGATGATGATGCTGCAGCTGAACATGCAAGCATGGATAATATTTAAGCAGCAGAAAGAGCAAAGATAATACATTAACAACAGCTCGTTATTGGCCGTAACTCCCAAGGTGGATGGTGAACTCCCACGGAAAACCATTTATTTTACCGGCAACAAAAGGAGGCATTCTGCAGTGTGAGGCGCGTTACGGCACCGCGTGCAGCACAATGGGAGGCGCCGGAGCGACGGGCCGCGAGGAAAATCACGTTGCCGTGAGAGACTCCCAACATGTGTGCCAAGGTTATGGGCCGACATGGAAAATCAGAAGGGAGAAAAAGAAAAGAGTAAATGAATAAAAACAAAAGAATAGGCTTTACGTGAAGGAGGACCAGATTTCAGAAAGGCGCGTGACCATTTATGAAGGAGTACAAGCCTTGGGTTTGGCCTCTAAGTATCTTTTACTTTTCCCCACTCTTATCCAAGTCTTCCATTTGCCTGTCTGCAAGGATTCCACACCAATAAGGAGTCAACCATTCCCCGAAGTTTTACCTTTCACACTGTGAACCCCCATACATTAAACACTGACCAGAAAAGAAACCAGTCACCCCTGGCAGCCATAAGGCTACCTGTCCCCCCACTCCCAGATGTCAGGGGGAACCCAGTTCAAGACCTGAGCCTCATAGCTCAGCCTGTCCTCAGGATAGGCTGCCTGCTTATCATCACATGACATCTGCAAGCCAATTATCATGCTGCGTGTGGAAGTACAGCTCAGTAACCATATAGGAGTACTGTCCACTACTGCATTAGTCAGAACCAATTTCCTGTCAATCATTGCCACTCAATTTTAATGGAAAACAAAATCCTTCTTGCTGAACTGCCTCCCAAGAACAAACTTTTAGTGCATTGAATCATGTGATTGGTCTAATTTGGCAAAGATGAAACCGACGTGTCCTTGATATTTGGGGTCAGGCAAGAACGACATCCGGGGATTTTTACTGTCCTCTTTACTTTTAGGATTGGAACTGGTCTTTGGTAATGGGAGATGACGTAAAACGGGTTCACGAGAACACAAGAATGGTCAAGTACGCGTATTGAGAAACACCCAGCAGAAGTCCAGAGTTCGCCCGGGTATTTGGGTCATTGTGTCACTGTCCTTGAGTCGGAAGTGTCAAGTGGCTGGTGGCCTTGTTTCCAAGCCGATCCTGACAGACTGCTGCGGTTACAAGCTTGGGCAGATACAGCCAAACAGCTCAATCTGTTCCCACAGCGACGTCAACCTTCCACAGCGACTCCCCAGGTGCCCGCTCAGCGAATAAAGGCCCCCCCCACCCACCAGGCCAGGCCCTCGTTCTCCCCGCATGTGAAGGATACTTGACTGGCCACAGAAGCCGTGGATGATGTGCAGGAGCCAATTGGGATGCACCGAGTCCTTGATCTTCTCCAGGAGCTTGCCGTTCCAAATGTACTTTGCATACGGCTCGTTTCTGATCCCGTGAACGACTGTGGGGGGGGGGGGAGGGGAAGCAGTGGCACATACCGTGGTGAACAAAGGGAGGAAGGCGAGAGAGTTTGTGCGGAATGAACGTGCGGCACAAACACGGTGATACCTTGTGTCGGTAGGCCCTCGTCCTCAAAAATGTCAAAGCTGTCCTGCCGGCTCGCAGGCTGCACCTCCTCTGTCCTGCTGAGCTCGTACATCGTTTTCAGGAGGGTAAGGTTGTACTGCAAGGAGTGACTCAGGTCGTAACTGTAGCTGGAGCAGAAGCAAAAAGAAAAAAAAAATACTTTATTTTTCATGATCCCACCATATTTTTCTTTTCAGCGTTATGTCATTTTCGACCCCCCCCCCCAGTCCCCCGCTGTTTGTCAAATTGTGGGCCCTTAAGTCCATAGCTGTGGGTCTAGACGACAAACAGATTTTATACAGCTGCTTGTTAGCGATCCCGGCTTGCACACGGACCGGCCTCGGCAAGGACCAAGTCATTATTTTTGTCTTAAGTCGGCTCAGAATATGCACTCCACTCAACATCAGTCACTTCATATCACCCCAGAAAACACGGCAATCAGCCCTAATTCGATGCTAAAAAGGGCAGCGTGCTTCTGAACTCCAAAAATACCCTCCTTCTCTTTTCCAGTCGCTGGGAGGTAAACAAAGAGACTGATTTAATGGCCCATAGCTGACACGCGTCCCACGACGCACATTTACAGATTACAAGCGGGCATGATGATAAATGACGACCGGAATCGGACTCAGATCATTAGGATCATCCTCTGGAAGCAGAACGTCTCCAAAAGGTAGCAGGCCTCAGAGCGGCGTGAGACACATCAACACGCATTTACCTGAAGTAGAAGTTGCTGGAGAGGTCCACATTCTGGAAGATCCTCACGTATCTGAAAAAAGGGTGAAATAGCTGATGAAAGAGCCGATGGAACAATGGTTACAATTTTCAAAAACTGCATCTACAATTTACAGAAGCCCTTGCTGGATTGTAAAGCTGACCATGACTTTCTATTACAGCTAATATACAATTTTTGCCAAAACAAACCAAGTTACGATATTATTCAATTTTGAAAGTAGCTCAAATAAAAGATATTATTAACACCAAATCCATCCATTTTCTGAAACCGGTTGTCCTGTTCAGGGTCGCGGGGGGTCATGGAGTGCCCCCCCCCCTTACTAGAGGGGTTCAAACCAGTAATTTTACTATCTGTCCACACACCTGCACGTAATATGCAGATTTCTCTAACTTTTAAAGTTTTACTTTAAAGCTACAGGCAGTCAGAAGTTCATGCAGTTTAAAGCAATTTTGGTCAATCATATAAAAATGAGTAACGTGGTAAAAATACAGATCAATTTTTGCTGGTGAGAAACTATGAAATTATGCAGACAGCGCAGCTCAGAAACAGAGGATTTAAATATATCTCTCTCAGCCAATGTCAGGTGGATGAAAAACTATAAATGTAAAAACCATTTCGGCTATAATAATGGAATGGTGGATTGACCAAAATAGCTGTTATTCTTTTTTAAATCTGTGGAAGAGCATCGAGGTTTATACGTGATACTTGGGTGGCCGCCCAGGCTCCCTGTAAACGTCTGGGTTGGGAAACAGTGGATTTGGTGCCGTTATTGCATGACCAGGGACCAGTGGCGCCCAGCTATGGCTGGTCGTGATGAAAATGAGTCCCTTCAGTTCCCTGGTCATGCTGGAGATGCTCACTGGGCTGCCGCCCTGCTCCTCATGGAAATACGAGCACAAAAGCCTGGTACCCAGGAGACCTCTGCGACACACCAAGGTCACCGTAACCGGGGGCTGCCGACTGGGGACCGTGCTGATCCTCGCGGCTTGGTAATTAGGATCAAGTCATGTGATGCGGTGTTTGTCTGTTTGTGGTGGGGGGGTGGGGACAGGGGACATTTAGAATGTATTGTTTCAGTGTCACCAGGGTGATCGTTAAGCCCCCGGACAAGACGGAATCCTCTAATTATCTGGCGAATTAATTACCTTTATTCCTCTATGCCCCCCCCCCACCCCCATTAGCTCCAATTCCCTGGCACCTGCTCGTTGTTCTGCACCCAGGTTGGGCTCACCTCGCCTCGTCTGGGTGCGTGATCCGCACGGAGTCGTTGGGAATGTAGATCATGTTTGTGTCCTCGATCTTGTATATGGAGTGGCCCCCGATGTCCGCCATCTTCCTCTTTTTGGTGATGAGGACAACGTAGTATCCCTCCAAGAACCGCACAAAACCTGCAGAAAGGGACACTCCTATATGTTCACCCTGTACAGGAGCTCTAGATCGCAGGAGCCAATCGTGGAATCATGCTAACATAACATAACATAACATAACACAGAGGCAATAAAATCTTGCCTGATAAAGACCTCGCATGTAAGCCCAGAAACAGACTGGAGCATCCTGTCTGGTGGACCAAAGGCTCAACAATTTTGTGGGAGGACTGTGTGTGTTTAGGGGGGGCGGTGGGCTCGGGGCTGATTTGTTCCATACCAATGCTGAAGCCAAACCTACACCAGTATAGTGCACCCATGACTAGCACAGCATGGCATATGATTATAGACGAGTCCTGTTTCTTGATCACAGCGCCACCTGCTGTGCCACATGTGATATTACATAAAGCAAAAAGAAATGGAGGAACCCTAGAATGCGGTGGGTGTGTATTCCCATAAAGAATGATCAACAGTTTATTTATTTATTAAAAGGTGTGATTTTGGCTGAATATCCCAAAAGCAGTAAGTAGGGCCAGCTGTCCACTCAGGGGGCAAAAAGGCAGGTATAAGTCTGGCTGGTCCTGGTGTCTTCCTTTACCCTGAACAGGCTTCTGAGAGGTCCATCTCAGTCTTTGTAGCCTTTAAAATGAATAAGTGTTAAAATAATTGTGGTCTTTTAATTACTGACAGAGGGATCATGAGACCACCTGGACAGGAACATGCAGAACTCGACTCCTTGCTTATTAAGTTTGTTTTGTGAGACTGTCTAAAATTTAGAAATGGACACAGCAGAAGTGCAGTGTGAAGTAGCTTTTATTAATTTATTACCAAAATACATTTGTTTTATGTAATGTTTTCTGTTCGACATGCTCGTTGTAATGATGAACTTCTTATGTGTTTTTGGCAAATAAAAATGTTTTTCTTTATGAAGATAAGATTAGGTACTGCAAAAACTTTTTTCCCTAAAACAGTTGCTGAAAATGTGTGTGTGGGGGGGTATCTTATAGTCAGGGTTGTGTAATATTCATCCCAAAATGATATATCCATTCTCCTTTTTCATGGTTTTCTCTTATTTGTTCCTTATGTCTTACGATAACTATCCCGTAAACGACATTAATTTGTACCTAACTGAATGTCAAAATTCTTGCTAACCCAGTTCATTTTCGCTTGTGAGGTCACTGTTTGTGAGGGTTACGCATGATCCGTAAGTGGGGGGGGGGGTTGTCTTATAGTCGGGGTTGTCTTATAGTCAGGGTTGTCTAATATTCATCCCAAAATGGTATAACCATTCTCCTTTTCCATTGTTTTCCCTGTTACATAAAGTGGTCCTGGCAAGATCAATAAGAGCTACAAATGTCAATAAAATCACTGACATGGCATTACCCATCTTGCGTTAAAAATCTGTTTCCAGGCCAGACTGATGCTCTCTTGCTGGGTAGTACTAGCAGGCCTGAATGAGTTCTAAACACCCAACTAAAACCTTCTCAGAAAGATGGCGGCCTCCCGCTGTTTTCAACCAATAGCTGGGCCAGTTTCATAACCACCAAGAAAGAGCACAGCTGCTCGTGGATGCAGGACAAGGTTGTAATGCTTTCCAGCAACGATCAAACAGACTCTGAACCCAGATGAACTTAACACAGGGTCCGCCTCCTACCTGTGTGCCATTGGTGGGCCCAAAGCAGAATAAAATGACGATGACACTGACATCATCACCAAGAGGGTGTGACACCAAACCAGAACTGCGTGACTGACCCAAGGCCATTTCAGGCCTACATACAAACGTCACTGTATGTAGGTCACAGACAATGCTTGTAACAAACTGACTTCATAATGCAATTTCAACAATTATGCTTATTCCGGAGAGGAAACGACTACCCCACACCCATCAGCCGACACCGCACACGTAGCTCGCTATTGCTGGGTCAGTGGGACGAAAGACCTCTTAGCAGGAAGGACGGTGGAAACTGCAAACGGGACACAGATGTGCGATCAGCCGTCTTCAGACGGCACACGGCGACAGCTAAACCCCAGACCTGGAACTTTGGGGGAAACACACAAGGTAGATCTCAGGACATAAGAAGCCTCCTTGAATTACCCACATCAGCTGGGATGTTGAAAGACAGTATCTTCACAATACTGCAGGCCTGAGTCGGCTGTGGGAGTTTTACTTACACAAAAATCTTCTGAGGGCAGAAGAAAAAATGATTGATTCAGGGAGATAATTAATCAGATCAAATTGTAGAGGTGGTGGGTCCAAGCAACTAGAGGAAGTGGGACCAACCAGCCAGATGTCTTGGTCCTGCCTCCTCTACTTACTTGGAACCACCTCCTCTACAATTTGATCTCTGAACCAATTATTTTTCCTTCTGCCCTCAGAACATTTTGTGTAAGTAAATCACCCACCTCAGTCAACTATCTATGACAATCCTGGGCAATTAGATTTCCTTGGTCTATAAAGGATGAGGCTGGAATGCAATAAAACAAATATTTAAGAACTGTGAGACACTCAGTCCTCTCTTGTCCCAAGATCAAAAACCTGCAGGCTAAAAAAACTCCAAAACCCCACATTGTCATGAATGATGACAACATCCTGCAGTCCTGATTATGTTACCATGGCCCTCAGAATTATGTAAGCTCAGAATAGTTAAATAGCTGGGTTAAATGCAAGGAGGGAAAACTATTATTATTCTCTTGAAAAATGTATAGAACAGCTTAGGGAAATACCAAAATCATACTGTACCTAAAGCAAAACTACTGGGTGTAGGGTTGTGCAATACGGCAAAATATTTTATCATGATATTTTTTTTTATATTAAACAATATTGATCAGTATTACAATATAATTTAAGTAATTATTTCTTTGCCTCAAGCTCGATTTTTGCTTAAAATGCCATTCGAATTTCCCTTAAACAAATTCAGATGGTGACAAACTGAATGGAAAAGGTGACAAACTGAATGGATTGTAAACTGAAATCTAATTTTAATAAATAAATTATATGAAAATATACTTTTTGTTGTAGGGATTCTCACTAGAAAATGCCAACAGTATATTTCCTTGCCAGGTTTTTTTTTCTCTGACTGTCTTGCTGTTTGTTCCAGGGAACATGGAACATACCTTGATGAAATCTGTGTAGAAATAGTGCATTATAGCTGTTAATTACGCAAGAAAGTAAATGTTCCAGCTATACCACGATGCTCACGATATTCAGACTGATGGTGATGTGAATGTTCATAAGCACAATATGATATTTTATCGATACATCGACCATCGGGTATATTGCCTGTTGAGTAAAAAGATGAATAAATGATGGCGTTAACCCTTACCGACGATGCCACAGGCCGACACCGCCCGGGACAAACCAGAGGACCCCTTCTGGCCAATTTTGGTCCGGTTCCCCAGTTCCAGACGGCCCAACAGCTCACGCAGTTCCTGCTGGTTGTAAACATGCTGGGGAAACAGAGGAAACACTGCCTGACTTTCATCGGCTTGACAGGGGCCCCCAAAGCGCCAGGGACAGATCACCAGGTGCAGAGTGTGAACACCCCCATGTTAACAGCACAAACTCAAACCTTCACACTCAGCTGAAGGGGGCCGCTGAACTGCAGAAGTATAGATCAGAAGATATTAAACAAATTTTTATATGCATATATGAAAAAAGATTTCCCCTCTGCTGAATTTTAAAAACAATAGATTTTATCCAGATCTGGCACACTTTTTGGTTATGTTTCACTGAGAGATGTAAAATAATACCACAATCAGTGGACTTATGAAGTCATCACAGAACCTCAGCATATAATGTTTCTGGAATTACACATGTAACAAAATTCTGATTTGAATCTGACCAGACTGTCGTATTTTCCTTAAGGATGAATATATTAAATGCTATGACTGGCATGAATGCTGCTTACAGGCTCATTTTATTGAGTGGAAAACCCTTTTCAGCTGAAGGGAGACGTCCTCACTGACCCTGAAATCAGAACCTAATAACCCAGCCTCTAGCCTCAGTTGCATTAATTGGTGCAAGGTCTCCGTGATGCAAAGTCGGCTTCCAATAGATGAATGTTAATGAAACACCCCGCGGTCAATAACGCTCTCAGGTTGTGTTCGGTCGATGCTGTGGAACAGCTGCACTGACTCCCAAAAGCTTGCAATTTATTTGGCAGAACAAAACTCTCCAACACAAGCATTATAGAGGAACCAGTCTCCCCCTGCAAACCTGACCAGGAGAAGCAGCTAGCAGATGGATGGATGGATGGATGGACAAGCAGTATAGCCCATAATGCAAAAGTACAACCACAAGTGTAATAACACATAATACAGCCTTATAGTACAAAAGTATGACCAGAACCTGTACAACACAAGCAGCGTACAAGTACAACAAGTGGAATGAACAGCCAGTACAGGGTGAAAATTACATAAAACTGTGAAATAAAGGCATATTTGTCCTGCTGGAGCCACATGTCCTACATTTCAAATAAATGACCATTGTGGGGAAATTTGGCACAGTCTGTTCATTAAGGTCTGGGAGAAGTACAATACAAAGCGGGCACCCAGAGCTGAATTCGAAGAGACTGGTCACACACGGCATCAAAGCAAAAATATTAATAATGAGAAATGTCTGTCACCTCCACCTATAATGGTAATCACACTTATAATGTAATAAACTCTGCTGTCTGCTTCCTATTCGTGCAAAGGTGAAATACAGTGCAGTATTGTAATATTACTGCTAGTAGTGCATTACATAAGAGCCACTCGCCAAATGAATTCCGGTCACTGGGCACCTACCTTATCATCAATAATCACCAAGTCTTTAGGTTCTGTGCGGTCAATTTTCAAAACACGGTGCTTAGTCTGCGCTTGATTACTCCCGACAAGAAAGTACCTCTGAAAAACAAAATGACAGATCATACTGTATATCACAAAGAAAGATTTTTTTTTTAAGAGTGCCTATTTACAGTCTGTAAGCCTCCGATACATAAGTACAGCATTACTGTAATTACTTAATTTTCCAGCATACTTCCTGACAATGATTTTAAAATATGAAGGCTTCTCTAACGGCTTAAAAAACAGTGCTGAAGCTACATAAAAAATAATGCAATATATAATGCTATAATAATGGGATCTACAGTTCAATTATACCATCAGTTATATAGTGTTACAATGTATCATTTACATATAGCTGATATAGATGTAGTATAGATCTAATTATTCGTAATATCCCCTGCTTAATATTTTCTAAACAATTTCCATCCATGAGATACAGACATTTAGCTTCTTTGTGGTTTCGGAGGCATATCGGACCTCAGCTCCACAATCTTATAAAGAAATGTGTCTTGCACAGCTTTTGTAAAGTTCAATTAAGCAGCTAAATCGACGTACGGTACTTTTCTTGGTCAGAGTACTGTAACACTTTAGAGACCCAACTGCAAACTTGCACTGTAACCGCAATGATCCATAGACAAGGACGTAACATGAGGAATCGCACCAAAGCCGATAAAATTTCACGCGAATGCTTGTGCTTTACTGCCCCCTGGTGCTTCAAAAGAGGAAACGCTTGGCTGCGTCAGTGATTTAACAGCGACACAGCGTACATCTAAACTGTATGGTTCTCATCAAGTTTTGTGTATGACAAATTTGTCAGAAATATTACAGCTCATGGAAGTTTTCTAATTAAAATATATTACATGAAACCCTCGCAATCTGGTTGTTCTTAGGCACTTCTTTTTAAAACGCTCGAGCTCTGGCGTTACGTTAAATTAGCACTGCGTAAAACTTTAAGTACAGTATTTTGTCGTAAATGTGGTGCAGTAATTTTCAAAACGATCGTATTCAGAAATGATTAAATGACTTATTATTTTAGACTTGTACCCAAACCATTTAAAACCTACAATGAAAAACATACATATGACTGTAAATGAATATCAGTAAATGGCAACGCAGCTAACCTTAAAAAACTAGTAATCGGTTCCCTTCCTGTAAATGTTTTTTTAAAAAATAATTTATTTCACTTACTGCTCTAGTTTCGTACAGAACCAGCTTCTGCACATCACTGATGACTGCTGCCGACAGAGGCATGATGAAGAATTATCGGTGTAAACAAACAGCATTCACATCACGGGAAAGAGGTGATAAAAAAATTCTGAATGAAGGTCAGCAGCATGAAGGATTTGCATAAATATATATAACGCCAGCGTTTCAGATGAGGAACACAAACTGTGTTAAAAATTAGCTACCACTTCATTGCAAGAAAAGCATTCTATTGTGTTTATTTTATGAATCAGGAAAAAGACACGCGTCCGGAACTGAACTTATGCAACCGCACAATTAAGAGCATTAATGAACAACGTAGTCAACGTAAAATAAATGTGCAAATATAACTATTAAAAAACACACCGCCAAAACATTACTGTACCAGTGTGTATTTCTTCCGATCAGGTGACAGTCATGGGAGGGTCCAGCTGAGACGGAGAGTCTCACAGGTCAAACAGAACGAGCGACCTAATTAAAGGAAAAAGCGATTTAAAATAGCTAATGTGTTTAACATATAAATATAATTTCTGTCATAATCAAAATTGTAGCGTAAAACATCGACTAAATGTCCATTGTATTATTAGATTATAATATATATGTGATTCAGTGTAAAATATGGAAATACTTAAAGTATGGTGAGTCCGACAGTACAGTATACAGTGCTGCTATGGTAACTACGCTACACAACTGAAGCAAAAGTAGAAGCAAAGGCGAAAGCAAGCCCTATCGTCAGTTTATAAGCGCCTTAGTCGTGGTAAATAAAACTACTTTTTCGTGTTGGTAATACAGTCAATTTAGATAACATTTGTCAAATCTTTGTAGTTTAGCTTAAGTGAAGTCTATCTAGTCATCTTGAACTATAAATGGTGCAGTACTAATACTTTTCTAATTCACTAATAACCTGTTAATACTAATGGGAATGGTACATTATCTAAAAGCACCGTTTGGTAGGTATGGACGTAAGTTTGGTTATCCTAAAGACAGCTATGGCTGGTTACTGTAATGGTTATAGTAGGTTAGTAAAAGTATTGGTTATTAATGCGTTTATTGGTGTGCATATAATTTCATTAAAGAATCTATCTATCTATCTATCTATCTATCTATCTATCTAAAGTTAATCGGAATGGAATAATTTATTGGAGTATTAAATAATTGTATTATTTCTTAACTATATATAGAAGAATATGTGTTCGTCCGTGCATGCGGATGGTCGAGATGCAGCACCGTTCACTGACAGCCTCATGGAGGACGAGGCCGAGCGAGATCTGCTTCGCTCCAAACCCGCCTGCTTCATCATTGTCGGTAACCCGGTAAGCTGTCTCGGGGGGCATTCATTGCTGACCTCGATCTTTCCTGGGATTCTTCTTTTCAGATTTGTTTTTCAAAAACGGTTTAACAACATAAATCATTTTACTGTGACCTTTCCATTATGGAACAAATCACCTCCTGTCAGCAGTTTTTTTCTGCCATTATTGGCAGTTATTTGTGAGAATCGGTTCGATAATTTCCTTCTCTGCTTATAAAGCAAACAATATACACAAGGTCTGTAAAACTGACTTGCAACCCTCTTTCTTAGGGAGTAGGAAAGTCTACTCTTGCCAGAAAAATAGCCCAGGTTTGGAACTGTGTTCTAATTGACGGTAATTATCACCCAGCGGCTCTTACATGACTACTGAAGTACATTAAATCATATAGTTTTTATTATAGGTAGGCCTATACTGTATGTGATACGTATAATTATGTCTTAAATATCTCTTTAATCTTACAGACACGGAACTGCTTGCTTATCACATCAACAATTTTACCGAGCAAGGTTTAAAGGTAATTTTAATCTATAATCTACCCTGCTGAGCTGCTACTCACGTCGTTTGCATATTTCTGACTGCTTGTGTCTTTAGCTTAGAGACATTCTCAATACCGGGGGCGTTATTCCAGAGGAAACAGTCTTTCAGCTGATTATGGAGAGGCTGACGTCACCGGAGGTGGAGCATCATGGTATAGATCTACAACACGTTTGTGCACATTTAATATATATTATGTTTACTCGTTATAGCCATGTTGTGATGTTCTTATAAGTATGTGTTAGATTATGATACCAATAGATGTTGAGTTACACTGCGGAGTGCAATTCACTTTCGGCACTGATTTTTTGGTTCAACATTAACTCATCCAATTTTCCTAAAGTACTGAAACTGGGCTAATTGTCCGAACATCGCTAAAGTGTAAAGCGGATGAAGAAATGAAGTTTGAACTCACTGAGAATTTTTTTAACAGGCTATGTACTGAGCTGCTTACCTTCCATATCAGAAGACTATCTGAAAATACCAGAACAGATAGAGATGATTAAAAATATTAAATTCCCACCAGATTTTATCATAAACATTAAGGTGAGTGTTTTCTTATTTATATATAAATGTCTATAAATGGTCTGTCATTTATTTTCATTAATCCATCCGTCCATCCATCCATCCACCCACCCATCCATCCATCCATCCATCCATCCAAACCACTCAGTGGTGATGCTGGCAGAAACAGCATGCTTAGCAGATCAGAGCAGATCTTTCTTAACAAGGCCACAGACCCCAGCCCCTTCTGAATCGCTTAGGGTTCCTCCAGGTGTTCCAGTTCCTTTCTGCAGGCCAAAACCATCCACCAGTTTAGTGTTTCTAAATTGCCCGTTGTGTGTGTAAATGTGGGCGTGTCTTTGCCTTGTCAGAGGATGCACCCCAGTCTCGTGCCCCATGCTGCACGTGGATTGGAGCCCTGGGTGGATGATTTGTGTAGCTTAACATTTTTATGAAGGGAATTTAAGTACACACTGCAGGACCATCCTGGCTACATTTAGATCCAGGTCTGTAATCACTTCGGTGCAACAGGACAATAATCACAAACGTCCTCAAGACACAACATTAATAGTGGAGCAGGGTTGTAAGAGGCATGCTTGTTTGAAGCTTTGTGTTGATGCATTGCTGCACTAAGGTTATATTTCAGATTGGATGATTTGAAAGGACTAAAAAAAAACCCATGTAATGACAGCTGTAAGATAACGGCATTGACCGGAGGTTAGCATCCATAGAAGGGAAAATTTGAAGAGAAATATTAATCTGTGTAGATGGCACTGAATTCAAGGCACTTCAGAGATAGGCAGCCAGACGTAAATCAAGCAGAATTTGCAGTTGATCTTCCATAGGGAGGCTTTACAGTTAGCGTGAGGACAGACTGCAGTGAGAGAGCGTGATGGCTTGGTGCCAGTGTGCCGACAGGGACCTGATCCAGCGGCTCAGTGGCCTGCGCCAGCATCCAGAGACTGGAGCCATCTATCCCAGGGAGCAGTGGGATGTGGTCAAGAAGGAGATGGGCAGGAGACAAGAGAGGGATGAGATGGAAGACCTGGGGGAAGAAGAGGAGGAGGAGGAGAATCTGGCAGAGAAGGATGGGGAAGAGGTGCTGTAGTGACCTGCATGTCTGTGTATATGCGTGTGCACTTGTTTGTGTGATAATATTCTTTGTGCATCTGAGACTCTGAAACGTAGCAATTTTTTATAATTAAGGCAAGTTCCCTTTTAAGAGGTTTCTCGATCGTGATTTAATTCTTGTTTGCAGATGGAGAAACGAGACCTTCCTGAGGATGTAATTACACAGCTCGTTCAGCTGGTGGAAGATTTCCCAGAAGATGTTTACAAAAAAATCCGTCTATACAAAGACACTGTGCTAAGACCTTTAGAAGTGAGATTCTAGAAATGTGAAAAAAAACTCACGTGAAAGTAATTATTTAATTCCATAAACATATGCCTTGCTTTTTAGGAGAACCGCATACAGTAACTCTGTCAATGATATTAATGGACCATTTATTACCAAAATTTTTGGGGTTATCTGTTATGAAACTTCATTTTTCCTCTATCCCTGAATGCATCTCAGATTACAAAACTATTGTACATTTTTTTCCAGGATTACATGGTCAGCCATGATCCCCTCTACCTGTTTGAGCTCGATGGTAACGACAGTTCTGAGGACTTATTTCTGGTGAATTGTGGGTCACTCCTGGGGGGGGGGCAGTCTCCATTTTATCGCATAGTACTTGTTCCGCACCTTAAAATGAAAAGAAATGTGCGAACGAGCACTGATGCATTCTACGACGGCTTGCACATGTGCAGTCAGTGGTGTCACGCCTGGAGTCGATGGCGGCCAGGCGAGCGCCCGCACCCGTGCAGCTCCTGCAGGAGGAGGAGGAGGAGGAGATGCCGCAGACCGGCGTGGACACCGTGAGCCACCGTCAGATGCAACCCTATCTGAGAGCCAGAGCCTGTGGGTGAATGGTGCTGGAACAGGGGCTGCAGAGAGAGGAGAGCTTAAGGGACAGGACTGGAGACCAGCGCGTTGTGGGATCCAAATCAGTGCTGTTCTCCATTTATCCTTCACTACCTCCATAGAGTATCCAACTGTTTAAGGCAACAAAGATAGAATAATGTGCATAAAATGTGCTGAGCATATTATTAACCAACAGGAGGAAGACAATCCAGCAGGATCCAGACACCTTTTTGTTCAGGATTAATTCTCACCCAGTTTTCACTAAGTGAAGTGATGATGATGATGATCAGTCAGGTCTGAAATTTTTATTGCGTCACAGCACCACCAAGAAGATACAAATTAGGAGAAAGACACAAAGATGCATACATTTAGCATGGCATTGCCGTCACAAAGGACAATATTCATTGTACATTTGATCTGGGATTAAATTCCATGTTTAATTTCAGGATTGACTGATGCACAAAAAGTGACAGGCCTAAGATTACAGTCGGAGTTAATCTCAGCATGTCCTGCAGTTGTCCAAGCCTGGGACTGTATACTGTGTCCATGATACATAATGCATCCTCTGAAATTCTCGAAATCTAAGTAAATCTTAAAGGTGAACTTTTAGCATGCCCGCTGGCTTATGTTAATCGTCAAATAGGTGCTGTTTGACAGTGTAGCGGTGATTGAGGGAATGCGGTATTTACACAGCCCCGGAATCGTGTCTCCCATAGGACAAGCTGCTGAGGGATCTGTCAGCCTGCAAACCCGTGGCCCCGGGGCTCCGGTGGAGGCGGAGCCGCTGGGGATGCTTCTGTCCCGTGGCCCTAAGGGAGGGCACAATCCTCCAGGGAAATCCCAAGTTCGCCGTCGGGTGAGGCGATGGTCGCTGCGGACCTTATGACTTCTGCGGAGTTGCTGTCTGTCAATCGATTGTGTGCCCCATTAGAGAGGCTTAAAAAGAAACCTATTGGTAACAGTTTGTTGTAAATGCTTTCGGTTTTAAATAGGAGAACCGTAGAATACAGAAGAAAAGTGGAAGTCCTGAGAAATGTAATGTGTTTGAGTGTTATGGCGGGTCATGGCGATAAAGACAGGGGATGATCCCCGGTGCGGCTCACAAGACACAAGGA